GGGTTCTGGGTCTGCCCCGGGGTCTCCTCCCAGGTGGACGTGTTCGGAAGACCCCCAGAGGAAGCCTCACAAGAGGCATCCGAATCAGATGTCCATACCACCTCAGCTGGCTCCTTTCGACACAAAGGAGCAGCGGCTCTACCACGAGCTCCTTCCGGATGTCCGAGCTCCTCACCCTATCTCTAAGGCTGAGCCCAACCACTCTGTGGAGGACACTCATTTCAGCCACTTGTATCTGCGATGTTGTTCTTTTGGTCACGACCCAAAGCTCGTGACCATAAGTGAGGGTTGGGAGTTTGGTTCCGGAGCCCTTGCTGTGCGTGGAGGTGAGCCCGACTATATCTAGCCAGTAACACTCCACCTCCCGCACCAGCTCAGGCTCCTTCCCCACTAGTGAGGTGACATTTCATGTCCCTAGATCTAGTCTACGCCACCAGGGGGCGGTACGCCAGGATGCCCACTCCTGCCTATCACCAGGTGTGCATAGCACCCAACCTCAATCTTCTGCCCTGTCGGTGGTGGGCCCTCTGAGCAGTGACCCCGTGTTACTTCTTCAGGCTGTGCACACATGGGGCCCCAAGGCTTGGCCACCAGATGCTCTCCTGCAAGCTCCCCCCCCAGGCCTGGCTGCAGGAGGGGGCCCCGGTTTTCCTGATCCAGGCAAGGTGGCGGATTTCCTTTTATGTGATGTCATCTGGGGTCTTTGAATTGCTCTTTGTCTGGTTCCTCCCCAAGAACCAATTTGCCTTGGGAGACCATACCAGGGGCTAATGCCCCGGAAAACATAGCTCCTAGGATCACAGGAACACTCAAACCACTCCACTGCGATAAGGTGGTAATTCATCTAGGAGTGTTTCAATATATTCCATTCAACTGACTGTTATTGAATATATTGTTTCAAGATAGAGGAAAGCTAATTGATGAGGACAAAGTCATGTTGAGCTGCACATTCAGAACCAGAACACATCTGATNCTTCCTAAGCTGTATATTGTTTTTGTGGGGTTTTTTTTGCAGGATTGTGGGTCAGAATGACCAGAAAAGCATGCAGTTGTTGTGCAGAACTGGGTCCAGAAAATCATACTGGTCCTCATTCTGCATCAGAGAATGGTCTCATTCTGCTGTGTTGGAAATAAATCCTCTGGCTTTTTTCTATTTCTTTAAAACCGTCACTAGCAAATTGTACAGAGCTGAGCAAAGGATGCAGCAACTTTGTCCCCTTAAAACAGTGTTTTGGTGGAACATTTGCAACGAGGTGAGCACTGTCATTGATAGAACTACTGCAAAATCCAAACCTTCGACAACTGTTTAGGGTTTCAGTGCAGAAGGTTGCACCTGGGAGGTTGTGGTGGTTTGGGAGGTTTATACCCACAACCTACATCTAGTAAGTCAGACTAGTTTACCACATTAAAGGAGCATTACAATGAAAGTGGTAATCCTAAGCTAAGAAGAGGTAATGTACCACAGTAATGCAGCCACACAGGAAGTATATTGGCCTTCAAAGTTTTGGTAGCTCTTTGAATTTATCAAAAAGCATTACCGCCCGAACAGGGACTTGAACCCTGGACCCTCAGATTAAAAGTCTGATGCTCTACCGACTGAGCTATCCGGGCTCTGACAGACTGTCTTGTAGAAGGTAAATTTGTAGAAATAACTCTACAGAATTCTACACAACAACTTCTGATTTATTTTTTTCTATTTTTGTCATGATCAACACCAGTTTTCCCAGATTGCTGAGCAACTTTGGTACGACTGCTAGTAACAGGACACACAGCCTGAATGCTTGAGTACCAGGATCCCACCACCACCACCACCACTACCGTTAGCCTTATTAAACGCTGAAACAACGCTACGTTAACCAATATAAATGCAGTGTGTATAAAACAACGGCACAGATGGTAACGCAGTATTATGTTAAACTCGTTCCTTACAGTAGATCTCAGTTGAGCCCTGCAGTAAGTCCGAACACAAATACCACTTTGGGGTTTTTTTTTCAGAGTAAAAGCCTCACAACTGCGCACTACAAGACGTTTCTTATAACTATTTATTTGTTTCGTAACTAATCAACAAAAGGACAATAAACAAACTGAAGTACTTAATGTCTGCTAATTAATTTTGTAGTTTGCGTCGTATTGTTGAGCCTATTGCGTCTTTTGCTGTTGTAAATCTTACACAACACCACAACAATTCCAGCCATTGCTTTCTCAGTGATCACAGAAGATGCATCCTCAGTGTAGCTCCCCCCACAACAACTGTGAACGGTTTAAAGACGTACAAACAAACCCCATAGCATGTTCTGTTCTGCAGAATGGGCCGACACAGTGACACCAGTTGAGCCATGTTTGTTCAGTTTCTGCAGTATTATCTGTGCTGTGTTTCTGGGTTCACAGTCGGGCAACACAGGCTGGTAAAACCACCTGGAAGCAGAAAAGGCATGAAAAGAAAACACGTGGCGTTACACCCACTAACTAGAGTTCTTTTTGGCAAAACGTCTCTGCTGAACTGAAGAATGGGTCTGTGCATACTCTTATTAGCTAAAGTGGATTTAGTTAAAGCTTGTGTACAGGACCTGTACATTAAAGAGATTTGCTGGAAAAAGACAAAATACAAACCAATGTGAGTGACAGCCTGAGCAGCCCTACAAACCGACTCCATAAGCTAAATCTGGTATTCTGTGGGTTTTAGGTAAATTGAACAGATTCGCGCTTTTACTTTGAAGGCGCACAAAATCAAACAGGAAGTCTGTCACGCTAACGTGCGGCGCTTTTCTGAGACCAATACGATAAACATGTAGCTTCGAGGTACAAGTGGAAGAGAAACAAGCTTTCAGCGAGACCTGAAAGCAGAATAATAACGTGTACAGGATGCCGCCGCCCTGCCAGTGAGCGGGGCGATAAGCGGAAGCGACGGCCGAAGCTAAAAGCGGAGAACCGGCAGAGCTAAGCGGCTAACGCTAGCCCGAACGGCGCAGTGGGCAGCGGTGTTTACATGAATGAATGAATGAATGAATGAATGAACGAATGAAGTCTCGGCCTCTGTGACACAACAACCTTCACATGAGCTCGTCTGATCGGAGCCGTGTTTCAGGAAGTGACAGTGAACGTTTATTAGGTCCTAAGTGAAAGTGATCAACAGGTGGCTCCGTGGCGCAATGGATAGCGCATTGGACTTCTAGTCAAGCACTTGAGGAGTGATTCAAAGGTTGTGGGTTCGAGTCCCACCGGAGTCGCATTTTTGCCCCGTTCAGCCGTGTCTTCTTTGTTTTTATGCAGTGGGTGCTGTCGTTACATTAAACACAGACAGATAACTGGATTGTTTTTCAAGTAATCATGCTGTACTACAGCTAAACTGGCTCAGTTTAAATAGATAAAACTCTCTTTGTGTACCTTGTTTGAAGGTGGAGGGACTTTACATGATGTGGAGCTTGAAAACTGACTTTAGAGTATCAATACACCATCAATGATTACCTGGAAAACATACGAATGTAAAGGTGGGTACACAGATAGAGTATTCCTCCTGCACCTTACTGTCAGTTAGCTTGTGATTTTATCTTGGTTATTTTTTAGCATATATTTGATGTTTTATCTGCTGTAGGTTAGTGTCTGTTTTGTGCAGCACTTTGAAGTATTTCTTCTTCTTCTTATGTTTAGTATTGTTCATCTAGTTAATAAATAAAGTGCTAAATACAGGTTTAAACTAATCTCAAATGCTTTCTAGGATATGTGGATAAATATATAAATTGTTGTAATTAACTGACAGATACAGAAATAAATGTGTTTCCAGAAACGTACAGATAATGCAAAGACATTAATGAATACTGTGTTTATTTGTAACCTAATTGTATTTGTTTATTCCATTGATTTGATTGTGGCTGAAGAAGTTCCCCACATTTCTTAATCTGTTTATTTTTGTGCTGTTGCGTTTGTATGTTAACACAAAAGTACGATAGCCACCAAGATGTATTTATGTCCGCTGAATATATTCCCCTGAGGTCACCTTATCAGCTAATAGCAAGAGACAAATAGCTTATTGAGCCATTTTAATTGTGCCATTTATTACACAAGTGATGTGTGTCATTTTAGGAAATAATTAAAAAGTGTAAGATTAAAAATATCTGAATTTTTCTGAATTGTGGAGACTGTTATGGTATTGTAATTATGGTGTTTATTTATTTATCACTTTGTTCTGCTGCTGAATAAGTCGGTGTGTAAATTGATCTTCAGTAGATTAATTAATTCATGTGTTTATATTCATGTATTTATTTCTGTATTTTCAGCATCATCCACAGAAGTACAGCATTTAGCAGTTATGTATGTTTTTCTTGATTAGTTTATATTATTGACATGCATTTTTTTTAAATTTATTTTTTGTTATGCAAAGTGAGCAGTTGGTGTTTCTGTGAATTCCAGTCAGCAGGAGTTCTTTAGAGGAAACCCCAGCAGCAGCAGCAGCAGCAGCAGTGTGCAGGTTCAGTATGTAACCACTAGATGGAGGCTGCAGACTGCGTGCCGGCTGACAGCAGAGCAGCGATGCCGCGACAGCTCCCTGCACATAAAGAGAGCCGAGAGGCGTCCACTGGGACCAAACGGAGAACGAGAGTCGCAGTGGCAGGTTGATGATCATGGCGCTGCTCAGGACATGTGTGGCCTTTCTGCTTCACCTGGCCTCCTCTCTGGCGGTAAGAGACTCCACATGACTCCCACTGCATCAAATTGAACACTGTGTTTGGACAGTTCTGCCTATTCCAGGGTTTATAGGGTCAAGAAGTAGCTCCCATGACAACTTTACACTGTGATAGTTTTTTGATTTACTTAATGGTTAAAAAAAAAAAACAAGGTCGCGGTTTTTATTCAGTTTTATTCAACGTACAGTCAAAAATAATCGCACTCTGGCATGCAGAAGTTGCAGAATGACTTTCTTAGTGGATTTATTTGAGTGTTTTGGCTCATTATGCTGCTGAAACGTCCACTTCTGGTTCAGACAAAAGTCCTCACATCATCTTCAGGCTCTCTTTGATGCAGAGTTAACAGTTCAATCAGCGGCTGCAAAGTTTTCCAGAACCGCAGCCGGTGTGAGCTGCTTCTCCTGATGCAGCTCAGATGATCTCTTTCTGATTGTAGCTGCAGATCCTGAGATGAAGCTTCTCAGAGGTTCTTTCTGCATCTTTAATTTATTTATTTGGAGGTTTTAACTTCCCTGTCTGACTCATAGGCGTCCACAGAACCATCGATTGCTTTCTGATTTAACCTTAGAAAGTAAACTTACAAGGATTTTTTTTGTGATGTTGATCTTATTTCTTTATTGGAAAAAGTGAACACCGGTTGAACAGCGACTTCAGCAGCACAGATACCAGCAGAACTTTGATATCAGAGGTTAAAATGAGACCGTTTCTAATCAGCTGATTCTCATTAGATGGACTTGTGGCTGATAAATGTAGGGCTACTTTTCCATGTGACTGAGCTGGTTTTTATTCTGTTAATTCTGAAAATGACACAACATGTTAGTTTTAGGCTCTTTTTTGTGTTTATTTGTTCAGATTTGTTAATAAACAAGTCAACAGTTTGCATGGGGTGGTTTTATCTATTTTCCTGACTGTGTAACATGTCAGGGTGCTTTACAGTAAGGTTTAGGGATGTCATGTTATACTGCACATTTAAAACAGACCAAACGTGCTTTTTAATACAGATTTAACTGAATAAATGTTAAGGTTAAGACCCTACAATATTAAAACTGTACTAATTGACTGTATTGGCCTATTTTACAGGCACCACAAATGGTCGTCAGTCACACTTATTTTTATTATTTCATCAAAATACTTGCAGATTATTGTAATAATTGACAACTAATCGACTAACGAAGACTCGACTTTTTAAGTAGCGGTGTAACTACAGCAGACACACAGCAGTTCGTTACCGAGGATACACTGGTCGTGTCCGGTGTTGAGCCTTAAACATCCCCAGTCGGTGGGGTTCTGATGAATCGCTTGTTGACTCGGAGATCTGCGGGTGACAAGTTAGTCTAAATATCAATCGGTCCTACAGATGCTTTACCTGTTGCTGAAGGTCAGTTTGTGTCTCCGTCCAGGCTCCGGTGCCGTGCGAGGACAGGGTGGTCCGGCTGGAGGCGGAGATCCAGAACCTGATGAGCGTGATCAATGATCAGCACCGGTACATCCAGGAGCTCCACAGCAGCCAGGCCCAGCAGCTGCAGCACATCCCCAACTCTCACCTGGGCCTGGGAAACCTGTACAGAGGTAGGACCCCGTCTGACCAGATGCTGCACATCTGCACCACAGCGGTGTGTCAGAGCAGCCTTCATATGGACCATGATGCTTACCCAGAATCAACTGTAGCCCTCTGAGCGGTTTCTGGGCGTTTTGAGCTCCTGTCTCATGTTTCTGTGCAACATAAAGTCCTGCAGCTCTGTGGAGCCAGAACCACATGAGGGAGGAGACAGAACTCAGAGACGTCTTCTGTCAGCAGGACTCTGAACAACAGAGACCAGAAAAAAAGTCTTAGATCAACATGTGCACACAGGAGCTCCACACTAAAGATATTTTACTTCCATTTGTTGGAATTAGTTTCAGTCACTAGTTTCTGCACTGAGAAGCGCTGAGTTGTTGTAATTTCTTTTACACAATGTTTTCTAAGCAAACCGTTTATTGTTCATGTGTCATTTAAAAAACCACCAAAGATAAAGTCGTTCTAGGAAATATCTGAGTTTTAAGCTTACGTCTGCATAATTTCCTCACACATGATAGGTTTAGGGATCATCTGACGGTTGTCAATCTAAAAGGTTTTCATCTTCTCACTTCTCCAAAATAAATGTAGGATTTTTTATTAGCTTGTGTTTTAAACCAGCCAGCAGGTTTTGGGCTTTAGAGAGTTGAACTGAAACCAACAAACAATTCATTTCTATTTTATTATCATTCTAAATAGAAAATGCCAAAAGGATAAATTGGCTTTTTATTCAATTATTTCATGTAAATGTGCACCTTTTCAAATATAGACTCGTGGTTAGATGTGGCAGCTTCTGGTTGACTTTACAGAAACCATGAGCACCACAGTCATTCATTCATTCATTCATTCATTCATTCATTCATCTATAAACACAGGACAGCAGTGGCGACTCCCTGCTGTTAAAGCGCTCTGAATCTGGTTGACTTTCTGGAGCTACGTTCAAACAGACGCGCTTCAGGATAGATTTTTGCTTCGTGTTTAACATTTTGTGAAACCTGTCAAATAAAATCAAATGAAGAAGATGGTCAGAGGTTGGTTCCATGCTGAATATGAAAACAACATCGGTGTGTTGGTAATTCTGGGTGAAACCATCTCCCACACTGTCATGACACAACACATTAAGTCAACATTTAGCTTCTCTTAGCTCGTTGTTTCTGCTTCAAAAGAACTTTTATAAACGTTGAAGTTTGATTTGATCAGCGCCACACAGCAGACGGGTTGGGTCATCCGGCGAACACGGTTTAGCTGCTGAAGAAACGGTAGTCGGAGGATCTGTGTAACGATTAATCACACGGCAAACGGGTGTGAAACGTTCACCCATCCTTCTTTGATCACTTTGCAAATGGATAATTTTCTCAGTTTCATTTTTAATTGTTCTCACAGAATTACATTTTTTTACCAAATGTATTTATTTGTGTTTGGACCGTAGCATTAGCGCCTGGGGCAGTAGCCTTCCTACAGCCAGCCACAGAGAGGTATTATTATTATTACTGTATAGCACATCTGAGCTGGGAGTAATTTATCAGCTGCCTTACTTTGGGAGAGCTTTGGAGACGCATGTGAACACTACTGCAGATCAGAGTTATCAAAAAACCAAAAGGCGAGTGTTTACAGGAACATTTCTGTTTTCATCCAGCGGTTTCTACGGCAGCATTAACTCCCAGTTCATCAAACCAACGATAGAAATACTAGAATGGAGTCTCATGGTAGATTATATGGTGTATTTCACCTGCTGATGCTGCTGGACGAGAACATGGAGGGGACAGAAACACCAACCCTATCCTGCAGTAGGAGCTTTAGAAACATACCTGGAAGAGGTTCTGCAGGGCTGGTTCTTCAAGTCAGAACACCTGCAAAGGTTCGGTCCGTCCTTAAATAACCTGCAGTATAAATGACATCAAACACAGACGCAGCTTTGTACGGCGGCCGAGTCTTCTGCCTTTTACTGCAACTTCAGAGTCACATCCATGTGTTTAGACAGATACAGTCATAAAAACAAACTTATATCCTGTTCTGGGATTCTTGTGGGTCTCGGACTTGACACTTTATCGTGCAGCCAATCAGCAGTTAGCGTTCGGTTTCCTGTCCTGACCCTACTTCACAGTAAAATCCCTTCAGAACCGCTGTTACTTCAGTGTTTCTGTTGGCTTCTTTGCAGACTGCTCCGAGGTGTTTGCAGACGGTAACGTGGCCAACGGGCTCTACGTGATCCGTCCCGACGGATCTCCAACGGCGCTCAGCGTCTACTGCGACATGAACAACGGAGGAGGCTGGACCGTCTTCCAGCGCAGGAGAGACGGCAAAGAGAGCTTCGACAGGTGTGTGTGTGTGTGTGCACAGAAACATGAATGTACACTTGAACAGTGGACAAAGCCGTCACCGGTGTGTCTGCGCTGTGTGCAGAGCCTGGGTGGAGTACAAGCACGGCTTCGGAGATCTGTTCTCCCCCGACGGAGAGTTCTGGTTGGGCAACGAGCCTCTACACCACCTCACCTCGCAAGGTTCGTGACCCGAGCGTCGGTATGTCGGATGTTACAGGACGGTCGGCGTTCAACTCTGTTGTCTTGCAGGAAACTACGACCTTCGCATCGACATGGAGGACTTTGAGGGAAACCAGCGTTACGCAGAGTACAAGAACTTCAAAGTGGACAATGAAAAGGTGAGACAGAAACAGGAAGCGTGTTGAATGTTTTAAGGCTGCAGATCCATCCTCTGAACCCCCATTTAGAATCAGCAGAAAGAGCAAGAAGCTTCAGAAACAGGAGATGTTCAGCTTTCTGATGGTTCATGAGCACACGATGTTTGATGCACAGTAAATTATGGTGAATCATTTCTGTGTTAAATCACCACCAGAGCATTTAAAACAAACTCCCCTTAGCAGAGAAAGACACTGCTGGTAAGAAGCACAACTGTTTTTCTAATCAGACTGGAGAAGCTGCTCACGTTAATACTCACCATGTGCATCGTTTACTTGCTTCTTCAACCCCCTGAACCCCAAAACCCACCAGCCAGTTTAAATGATCCATTTTATTTTTAATCAGGGCAACAAACTGTAAACATAGAAAACAATTAATGGAGTTTCAAACTTTCCAATATTCCTTGAAAGTGTAATATGACGTTCTGTTGGGGAAATTAATCATTTCGAAGCTCACCTCTGCGTTCCTCTGCACCACTGAGAAGCCATTAGTGACAAAACAAACAAATGGTCTCTTCAGGTGAACTGCAGCCAGTGTTTCTTCAGAGAGACTGAGAGGAGAATCCAACCTCCTGGATCAATAAATAAATGCAACACGGATCAGAACCAGAGGACAGAGGAGCCAGTTGTTGGAGATACAGGATGTGTTGGGTCTTTTTCAACAGCTCTGGACACGTTGGTTCCAATATTAGTCAAATAATCTTCTGCGTTCTCTCCTTCATGGTTGTTCTGCTTCCAGAGAGCTGCACGACTTTATATTGTGGTAGTGAGCAAAAAAAAAAGGACAGAAACTGCTTTGGGTTCTGGGGTTTAAAACGGGTTTACACGTTTTTCACACTTTATGAAGGTAATTTAGAGCCTTGGGCCTGGTTTGAATCAGGAATGATCTGATGATCTGCTGCACTTGTTCTGTGACCCGCTCAGCAGCCTCTCTCTGGCTGCACATCTGGCGTTGGTCTGCCTTTGACCTTGCCCTCTCCATTTCCCATAACACTGAGCCTTATTTAGACTATGCACGTTGGACCACCTTTGCTGTGGAAACGGCAGCAAGGTCGTCTGGCTCTTCTTCTCCTCTTCCACTCCTTACACTTGATGCTTTCGCCTCCTCCGTCTTGTAGTCCTCACTGTGGACGGTTCATAGCAATAATACAGTTTAAGTATAAATGTGACACTAATCCAACCCGTTGCTTTGCCTCACTAAAGGACCAGTACCAGCTACATTTGGGGGAGTACTCCGGGAACGCCGGCAACGCTCTGAGCGACGCCTACATGGAGAAATGGAACGGTCCCTGTTTGGTGCCCAACGGCGTCAAATTCAGCACCTACGACCACTCGAACGCCGTCGACACCGAACCTGAACCCGACGACGTCCGGTGTGTCCGGCACAGCAAGTCGGGCTGGTGGTTCAGCAAGTAATGCCCCAGTTTTACTTCAGACACGGGCTTAAAGGTGGAGTCAGGGGTTCTAAATACAGGATGAGTCACTTAAAATAAAAGTTAAAACAGAGCTCCAGGGAGTGTTTGGATTGGTGGGTTTTCATGTATGAGTCCAAACTTTATCTCCGAGTTAATGATGCAGTGGAGACTCAGGTTAAGTTCTGTAATTTATTATACCGTGGGCTTCATTATTATGTTAGATTATCCTCCATAATTAATAACACTGTAGGCTCTCAGTCTTACTATAGATCACAGTCGGCTAAACTAGTATGTTCTACTGTTTTAATCCCTAATGTTGGTGCAACAGGTGTGTTTAAAACAGACAGCAGCCTCTCCCCGTGCACGCTCATGCACAGGACAGGGGGTAAGTAAGGGGATGTGGGGCTGTGGGGGTAATATGTGTGTACTTTCATACCGTGTAGTGTGCCAGAAATAGATTTAGTTTGTACTAATGTGTGCTGTCAAACGCAGCAGATATCTAAAATTCCCCAGATGTCCTACTGCATCCACACAGATTAGCTTTTCTGGGCGTTCTGACCCACAATCCTCTGAGCAGCTACATCAGACTCACATCAGTAAAATCCAGCTGAAGTCACACCGGCCGATAGCCGCTCACTTCCTGTGACAGACTGCGACAGTCGAAGCAGTACGGCCCAATTTGTGAACAAAAGCTTGTTAGTAAAGACCCTGAACATCAGGCTGGAATGAAGGTTCTAGACTGGTCTCCCCAGAGCCCTGACTGGAACCATCCAGAACCTGTGGACTGATGAAGAAACAAGTTTGGTTGAACTGCAGCGATTCAGTCCAGAGATAAACCAGAAGAACCGACCTGAGGCTCAGTATTAGGACCGAGTTGTGTGAACCTGTGAACACTTGAAGGGCTTCTTAAGAACAAAGTCTGATTTGGAGCTCAGCCCGTCTAAAGAATCCCAGACTCCACCTTCTACAGAAACCAGTGCACAGGTGAACCAGGTGTTTGACTTGTTTCTGTCGCCGCTGCAGGTGCGACTCGGGGAACCTGAACGGCCATTACTACGACGGGCCGTACAAGGCGATGACGGACGACGGCGTGGTGTGGTACACGTGGCACGGCTGGTCCTACTCCATCAAATCTGTGGTCATGATGCTGCGAGCCTCCGACCTGGAGGGCCAACCGCACCACAGCAAAGCGGCCGGCAGCACCGCCAAGCCTCCTCGCGGTCAGTAAGGTCCGAACACCGGAGCCGGAAAAGCTTCACACGCAGCGTCATCGTGTCGTCCGTTTATTTTAAACCTCACAATAAAACCAGGGTGGCTTCAGTCTGATGTCGTATCGTATTTATTCTGTGTCCAACATAAAACAGGACCCTGTACACTGAGGCATTTTGGGTACATCTGAGGTTTTTCAGGACAAACGACAGACAAACAAAGTGAGTTTCTGTCTTTTGGGTTGAGTAAAACAGGCTGCTGTCTGCCTGGAGGGCTGAGTTCTGTTGGGGCACAAAGGCTGAGGGGAGGTCTGTGTTCATTAGTTAATGAGGGCTTCAAGGGGGAAGTAAAGGGACAAGGCCAACACCCTCCTGTTAAATAAACTGCATATTTGGCTCAGAGACGGTGTTTAGCATCCAGGGGTGATTACATTCCACAGAGCAGATTAAGGTAGAGGTTGTGAGGAGCTCACAGAGGATCAGCGTTCATGTCAGTGATTCAGCTCCTCAGACGGACCAAGCGAGCGTCCGTCTGAGGCAGATCGGTGATTGAGCTTCGCTCTTTGGGAGGAACAAAAAAATCTCTTTCAAAAGAAGGGAAAAGGCAAAAAAAACAACAAAACAATCCATGCAAATCCACCACGAAGTACCCGTCATTTTAACATCCGCCAAACCCAAACAAGTCTGTTTCCACAGATCCAAGGTTTTCTCTCATCCACGTCTTTGGAAGGATGAGCGGAGCTGTACAGCATAACAAAAGGGAAGGGGAGATATCTATGTACAGACCCTGAGGTGTGCCTGCTGCTCAGTTTCCTTCAGACAAAGAAGGAAGGTGTGTTGGAGAGCCAGGCGTAGATCCGGAGCGAGGACAGTCCCACGCTCGCGTTAAGTGCATCGGTGCCGCCGCGGCGACTCAGTTCGTTCAAAATGTACAAGTCCGTGACGCGACTTCCGGCGGCGCGTTGTCGGGTTATCTGGGCGACAACGGAGCAGCTGTGGGGAAGGAGGCGGAGTTCCTGGGGGAGCCGAAGGGGGAGGTGGGGGAGAGGCGGCGGGGGCTCGCCAGCAGGTCGCCGTTGTGGAGCTTCCACAGCAGCTCCTCGTTCTCCATCGACAGCCGCTTGTTCACCTTCGACTCCTTCTGCAGGGTCTGCTGCAGGATGGCCTGCTCCGTGGACAGCTG